ACCCCAATAAGAATGGCTACCATCAAGAATATAAACAGAGGGACCTTCTTACACTAATGATAAGAATATAAACTGGTTCAATCACTGTGGAAGGCGTTTGGAGATTCCTCAAAAAACCAAAAACAGCCAGGCTCCAGTGGCTCATGCCTGTAATCCTAGCTACTCAGGAGGCTGAGATCTGAGGATCAAGGTTCAAAGCCAGCCTGGGCAGGAAAGTCCATGAGACTCTTATCTCCAATAAATCACTCAGAAAACTGGAAGTGGCGCTATGGCTCAAGTGGTAGAGCGCTAGCCTTACGCTGAAGAGCTGAGGGACAGCACCCAGGCCCAGAGTTCAAGCCCCATGATCGACAAAAACAACAACAAACAAATAACACACACACATAGAACTATCCTGTGATCCAGGAATACCACTGAGATAAATACTATTTATCCAAAAGATTACAAGTCAGGATATAGTAAAGACACTCATGTTCATCGCTGCACTATTCACCATAACTAAGTTACAGAAACAGCTCAGATGTCCTTCAGTGTAGGGATGGATCAAGAAAATGTGATATCTATCTATTCTCTCTCTCTCTCTCTCTCACACACACACACAACACATACACCTACATAGGATGGAATTTTATTCATCCATCAGGAAGAATGATATGTCATGTGTAGGGAAATGGCTGAACTTGGAAAAAAGTATGTTAAATGAAGTTGGGATCAGAGAGACAAAGAATGCATGTTGTTTTTTGGGGGGGGCTGGGAAGGGATGGTAAGGGGAAACAAAGGAGGAGGCAACAATGCTTGATAAGAAATGTACTCTATCTTGCCCATGTAATTGTAACCCTTCTGTACGGTATTTTCACAATAAAAAAAGAAAAAAAGAGAATGCATGTTTTCTCTCATAAGCAGAAATCAGATCTAAATTATGAAACACATACAGGGCCCCATATGCATATATACACTAACATGTCAGCTAAAGTGGAGTACATGCAGGGAGGATTACAATCATCTAACTTTGAGTTTAACAAAATAAAAACTTTTGAGTTTTAACAAAAAAAATCCTGAAACTAGAACTGTTTTTTTGTGTGTGGGGGGTGGGTGGGTCAAGGAGTGTGAGGGCAGAGGAACAGAGAAGAAAGGTGGATAAATGCAGTCATAATATTCATTGTACGCATGTGAAAAGAGAACTTGAAGTTACAGAGTAGATGGGTGGGGTTGAGAGAGAAAGAATGATGAAAGGGGTTGACACTGACCATGATGCATTGTACTCACAAACTGACATGTTGAATTAAATAAAGCCCCTTTGTAGAACTGCTTAAGGATACAAAAATACCAAATATGTACATCCCTACTCCCAGAGTACATACAATGTATAATGTATAGTATGTATAATGCATATATTCTACTTTCTAAAAACACATATGTATACACACAAATAAAAAAACGAAGAAATAAATACATATGTAAAGAAAAATAAGCATTCAAAATAACTGCAGAACAGTGTCTCAGGTACGTGTATATAACACTGCTTTATTGTATAACTATAATACTGACTCATGTCATATAATGAAATATTTGCAAAAATAACAAACGTATCAACCATTTAAGTGCTGCTACATACTTCAAGTTAATTATCATGTTCAATTTTATTGTTATTTAAAAGGCTGAAGGGAGCAAAGGATTGTTACTAAAAAGCCAGTTATCTCAACTTTGTAAGTGTAGAATAATTTATTTCCCAAAGAAAGCAATAAACTTTAATAGCTATTGTAACAGTAATCTATACACTACCACCTCTTTAATAAAATGTCCTAATTTTCTCATTTAATGCTTTGCCTCAAGGCCATGAATGCTAACCATTTCTCATGGTTAAAAAGCTTACTAGTTCTAAGTTCTTCTAAAAGGAATGTGCAAGTCAGCCACACTGGGCAATTTATGTATTGTGGTTTTGTGGTGGGTACTACCATTTTCTAAGCATTAAAAAAAGTGCAATAAATTCGAGACAATCCATGTTATATAACTGACTACCTTGTGTGAATTTTCTACTTCATATCTCATGATTATTTTCCAATACAGTATGGCTTTAAGATGGGAACAAAGTTTCCTTTCAGTATCCTCCCCTTTCACAGTATTTTTTGGATAATTATCCTGGGCATAGATGCCATCTTTAAAAGATTGTAGAAGCTAAAAGTTCTTTCTTATGGATAAAAAGGGAAAGAGGAGAATAGAAAATGAAAATGCTTCAAAATTATTTTTGTTTTATACTAACCATAAACATTTATAACAAACCAATTAACTCAATAATACGTAAAACTTATAATAATCTGATTATTAAAGTGGAACTTAAATAAAAAGTTTTATCAAACAACCCCTATGCAGAGGTAAATCCTTACTTGGTCCCATGTTTTTTCCTGGTCAATTTCTATACATTCCTCACAGTCCTTGTCAAACTTTTTACTTTTTCTCATAGTAAAGTGTTGTACAGCTGTGGAAAGGGGTGTGTGTACGTGTGTGTGTGTGTGTGTGTAACAGCACTGGAATATAATTAAATTTACAAGTAGAAATAGCAAAAATGAGTATTTGTCACTAATAATACAGTACAGAATTTTATGTATATACTATGTATATGTTTCTCTACATCTACATTAAACATCTAGGGGAAAACATACTTGTATAAAAGGAGGTGCAAGGACAATTACCCCAGTGTACATTACTAAAACAAATTCCTATGTCCACTAAAGAGAAATAAGTAAGCATTGCATGGCTACTCCTCCTCCCCGTTTTCTTGATGATATTGAGGTTTTTGACTCAGAATCTCCACTTGCTAGACAGGTACTCTATCATGTGAGGCAATCCCAGCCCTTTTCTGCTTTAGTTATCTATCAGAGTCTTGAACTTTTTCCCTGGAGCCAGCTTCAGACTGGAACACAGGCACGCAGAACCATGCCATGTTGAAATGGAAGGTCTCACTAACTCTGGACCAGAGTTCTATGCTAAATGCTTAGTGCATATGACTTTGGCTACTTCTTACAATATTCCTGCAGTGAGGATTAAAGAGAAATTACAGTTAATACTCTCCATATGCTTAAAAAATGAACTCTCCTTCATTAGATATGACTATCTAATCTCTAACATCATTATCTCAATACTTACTCTACCACAGTCAGCTTTTCAAAGTATTCATTCACTTATATGCACACTGCTAAGAATTTTTCAACAGACACTGCATTCCCAATGTCTTTAATTTGACACTGAAAATACATACATCATAGGGCCCACTTTGCATCACATCCCAACCATTCTCTAAACACTCTGGATAGAATAAGAGTATGTACAAATACTCTTGCCACTTCACTATAATATAATGTAATATAATATAAAGAATTGCATCTTTCAAGTTTCAGTAGAAATGTTACCATTTGTCTGAAACTATTGTCTCTGGTGCTGTCAAGTGTATTACTTCTTTCTCTAGTGTGATACCCTCCTTTCATATTACAGCTGACCAGTATTGGGTGGTGGTGGTGAGAGAATTAGTTCCAGGAACTATGAGAATATTGGTATCGGCAAACAATAATGCTTTTGCATATAACCTACATACATCCTCCTTCATACTTTTAAGTTATCTCTAGGTTACTTATCATGCACATTCTTTGTAAATAGCTGTTATACTGTATTGTTTCGGCAATAATTTTTTAAGTCTATATATTCAGTATAAATGGAGCCATGGTAGGCCTAATTAATTTTCTATCTGTAGCTGAAGCAGAATCCATGTCTAATGAGGCCAAGTATAATTGCCTGTAAGCAACATTTATTCATTTCTACAATCCCTAATGTGCTTAGCATAGTGCTTTATATACAATTTACATTCAATAGTACAGAAATTTTTTCATTATTTGTAGCACCTCTGAAAATAGTAACACTCGACTGATAAGTCCTTCAATTTCTTCTTTTATTCACCTAATGGATAATTGATCCTGTAATGAAACTCTGCTAGTTGCTCCTTTTCTAGGTTCTAATTCAACATCAATGAGATATAATTCTTCCAATACCAAACCAATAATGATCAATTCCAAACAAATTATGATCAATGATCTAATGCTAACTGCCTGATATTAAACACATTATATGTTAGCACTGGAGGAATATAAGGAAGGGGTTAGACATGTGCTAGAATATTAAGATCAACTGTTAACATTCATAGTCAAGATCATCTGTTAAAATTCCTAATTCATAAAATTCTTCTGTTCAATTTCAGGTGATATTAGATGAACTGAACTTTAAAATGAAAAGATATACACATGGCTATCTACTCAGTAACAAAGTCACCTTTATTTCTAAACCTATACAAATTAGTGAAAGTAATTAACAACCTTAAAAGCTAACTGCAACCATTTATGAGCAGTTTTTCTTGGTTAAAACCTAGAGCATTAATGCAAACCCCAGCTTTTAGTTTTGTTGATAAATTTCAGTTAATTCCAATTATTTATGTCTTTCCTATCTGGTTTCTTTTATGAAATTAAGTTTAAATTAGCAAATACTAGTTATATACTTATATTACCTATGATTTGCAATTAGGAGAATGCATTAACTCTTTATGTGAAGGCATCGGTAATTCCAAATGCTTGAGGGTAGCAGGGGAGAATTTGTTCCATTCAATTCCCTATACTACTCGCCTCATGTGAACCTCTGACAACGTTTACTTTTCAATGAGGACCACAGTACTTCTGGCACATTTTTACAGAGCTTAACAAGAGCATTTCCAATTTATTCTTCTTAAGAAAAAATGTTTTTTGCATTAGTTTGCTACTACTAGCAAACAAGTTAAATTAGAAATATTCAGGCAAGTTATGTTAAAGTCAATACTAGCTGCATCCTCAATGTTAGGGATGTTACTGTATTTTAAAGCACAGTGACTGTAAGTTTTGAAAGTAAAGTCATGGTTATTATAGAATTCATAGTAAGGCAGTTACACAGGCTAAGCTTGTCTGGTGCCTTGGACTTTACCATACCTGGAAATAGAAAAATTCAAATTGTAGCTGTTCTTGGTTGGCCCATTGCCATTTTTGCAGCTTACAAATTTTTAATTAAGTAACTGCAGTGAGCTCATCTCTACTGGATACTTCTTTTCCAGGGCAGGTCCAGGAACTGGGTCTGAAGCCTTGAAAGCAGAAGAGAAACTAGAGTAAACTAGAGGTAGGCAGAATAAGAAAACTGACCAGATAACATTATGAGATTTAATAGCAGTGAGGTAGCTCCTAAAGTTTCTAACATAAAATATTTTGAAGTAGGAAAAGAGCTTACAAGTTACCAGAGATAGCTTTGTAGCAAGGCATTCTCTTAATCCCCAACTGCAGTTGGCACTCTCAATTCTAGAAACTGAAAAAATACCCTTTATGAATTATCCAAGGGCTCTTAACTACAACCTGTCTAACTAAGGACCAAAGTAACTATAATAGAAAAATTAAAAAAAAATCCATTTTCATTAGTAAAATTGGAATTGTAAAGTCCTCATTTTCGGGTCACTGTGCTCTTACCTTTTGGTATTTTATTTTCTATCAACTTTTAACTCCTCCCCCAATTTCCCAGGATCAGTTTGCAGGGGTTTCTTAAGAAATGTTTTAGAAACTGTCAGGCAGTGAACTAGAATTTCAAGTTCCAGTTTCTAAAAATACTTGGTAATCCTTAAACAAGGAAGTATAAAAACAGCTCATAAGATATGGTCCTAAATCTTGTTGGAAATTATCTTTTCCATTATATCAAAATAGATGATTATATAAAAACAAAAACCCTGTATGACATTAAAAGTGGTAACTATTATACTAATAATTAAATTTCAAGGATCTCGAAATTATGTCCTTATAATGGGTAGGCTGGCAAACTTCGCAGTTTTTCTAAGAAACAAATCCCCCAGAAATCAAAATAAATTGAATTTCTGCAGCTGTTGAATGTGAGAATTCTAACAGGACAAAAAATAATGAAGACAAAGCTGCAGAGAACTTGACTCTGTAGTTCTAGGAACTCGATATAACAACAACAAAAAAAAGAGTAATAGTTTTGTGAAAAATTTAGTTTCCATCTTTTTTTTTTAATGGCTAGTTTCATGGAAAAGAATTCTGAAAAAGACCTAGATTCAAATCTGGTTTCAATATGGTCTTGACTAAACTTTCTGAAGAAGATTCCTTTCTATTAAGAGGTACCCTACTACTCATGTCACTAGACTGTAATGGCATTTAGTTTCAATACATAAAGGATCTAAAGATGGCACATATTAGATATCCTATATACTTTTGTAAATTACTAAGAATAAAATACTTCCTTTTTTTGGTCTTTACTTGAAATGAGGGTAAATTTTCATAAATTCTAAAGCATCAGTTATGTAGTAAGCTTTAGGTTTAACTAAACTGCATTACATTCTAAAGAGATTTAACCCTTGATTTATCAACATTCACTTCAGAGTAGCTATAAAATACACAGGATGTCTCAATTCTAAAAACTTACAATAAAATACAACTTATATACAGAAATTCATCATAAAGTAGAAGACACAAAATTCTTCTCTAAGTAAAGTAGAATATACTTATGTCAACACCAATCTTGTTAAAAAGAAGTTATAGACTTGGAATATAAAGCTCTCTGCAAAATGTAATCAATAGATGTTCTAACTTGGTTTTAAAGTCCGGAAAGTCTTCAAAAGGAAAAGAAAAGCCTTATATTACATATAGGCAATAATTTTCCTCTCACTGATGATAGAACAGTGGGTTCCAACAAAATTATTATTTACCAAATATGGCTCAAAGATCAGATTACACCTCTGACATTACCAAGTAATAGCACAAGCTTCACAAGCCACAAGGAATTTTTTTAAAAAAATGATTTCCTTACAGTCACTCTAAATGTATTCATTACCACACTGTATTTCAAAACAGTTTATTCAAAATGGAGAGATGGTAAGATTAAATTGGTGTATTTAGCAGAGAGGAGAAAATATTAGGAGGATTTCCCTTTACTATTTTATACAGATAGGCTTTTAGTTTAAGGACCATTGAAGGGAACACACACACACACGCACGCACGCACGCACGCACGCACGCACGCAAAAGTGCAGAAAGGCAATAAAGTTAAAACCTTCTTGATGCTATATATCCATCCATGTATTAATTATCTGGACTCCAGCTTTTGGAACATATATCACACTAATAATATTCATGATAATATCTGCCACCTGACTTGATGCCTTGACCTCATCTACAAAGCATAAACAGCTGCTCTACCACTTAAGAGCACAAAACTCTCCCCCATTTACTATGTTCCTTTCCCACTTACCACTCCTGCTAAAATTTATCAGTGTGTTTTCAATGGCTTCTCCAGTTTGGTTCTATAGGGAGTCACTGGTCCCTTTGGCAGTCACAAGAAAGCCAGATGCCTTCTTCAGTTGTGTTAAAGGCATACCATCCCATTCATCATCTCATCCCATCCCATCCCAATCATTACAAAGAAAGGCAATGTTACTGAAGTACAGTTAATTACTTTTGAAAAGAGAGGCTTTAGTTGCTGTTATTATTATTATTTTTTGGTATTTTTGAGGTAATGTCTCACTAAGCCTAGCTTATAACTCTCTATCCTCCCTATCCTCCTTACGTGCTGCATTACAGATATGTGCCTCTATGCCCAGATAAAATATGGTTTTAAATGCATAAACAAAACAGAATTATAAAATTCTTATTGATACTGAGACATAGCATTCTTTGATATATTAACATACATATGCTGTTTTTGCTTGTCTGCCTTTTGAGATGGAGTCTCACTATCTAGCCCAGGCTCACCTAGAGCTTGAAGTCCTCCAGACTCTGCCTCCAAGGTAGAAGGATTATAGGTGTGTGCCATGATCCCTGGGTTACATGCCTCATTATTAACACATAACACAACACAATGTATCAGGAGTCTAAAATACAACCATAATTTTGAAGTAGTAATATGTATAAATCATATAGAGACATTCACAATATCAAGTAATATCAAATTACCATTTTAAATTCTCTTTTCTTTCTTTCTTCTTTTTCTTTTTTGCCAGTCTTGGGGCTTGAACTCAGACCCTGAGCTTCTTTGGCTCAAGGCTAGCACTCTACTACTTGAGCCTCAGCACTCACTACTTCTGGCTTTTTCTGCTAATGTGGTACTGAATCGAACTCAAGGCTTCATGCATGTTAAGTAAGCACTCTACCATGTTAAGTAAGCACTCTACCACTGTCACATTCCCAGCCCAAACCAATTCTTTTTTATTAGTAATGAAGACACAATCAAGGAACTGGTGGTTTATGCCTATAATCCTATCTACTCGGGATGCTGAGATGTGAGGATCACAGTTTGAAGCAAGACTGGGCAGGAAAGTCCCTGAGACTCTTATCTCCTGCCAATTAACTGTCCAAAAAAGCCACAAGTGGAGCTATAGCTCAGGTGGTGGTATGATAGCATTGAGGGGAAAAAAAGAAAAAGAAAAAAGAGCTCAGGAAGACTGCCCAGATCCTGAGATCAAGAAAAGGACCAGAAAAAAATAAGTAGATATGTGTGGATATGTATACAGATACACACACACACACACACACACACACACACACACACACACACACTCACACACACTTACATACAGGTACCACAATGTGGTCTGCTGCTTAAAATTGTAAGGGAAATACTGAAGTTCAGAGAAAAGTTAACAAAATTAACTTCTTTTTCTTATCCAAACACACATAACTCTAAATTCTCTCCTCAGATCTCTTTAGGGTCATGTAGCCTAGATTAAAACCCTTCTGTTAAATCTACCTTCTTTTATTTTCCACCAGTCCTTATACCCTTAGGAATTCAGTCAGGTTTGAACACATCTGGCTTTTCTTCATTGCCCTAACTACTGCCTTTACTTAGGGTGAAAATTGTAACTGCTCTTCAAGACCAGCTCCACTTTCACTCCTTCTTGAACCCTAGTCTTCAGTTTCAGTCCACATGGGCGCTATCCTTACAACTACTAATGTTCCTATGGATCAACACTTTATGATTCAACGTTTAATATTCTTTTAAAGTTTCACTTCTTTGGGGATGTGGATTATAGGCTTAGATATAGAATACTGACAGTGTGTAACACAGTACATAAAGTGTATGCACTAAGTAAGGTGCTCTCAACAACTTAAAAACATTAGAAAATCACTTATTGGCAATTTCAAGTACCAGACAATGTATTGGGAAGGACAAAAATCACACTGAGCATCTAAAGCAGACATCACAAATTAAGCTTGTTTAACTTCACCTCTAAGAACCTAGATACCTCTATGTATCAAAAACTCAGGAACCTATTTACTGGGCAGCAATGAATCTTTAGTAATAAATCAGGGAAGGAGTACTAAAGAAGACAGGAAAAGGATTCATTCATTCCTATTTGTTAAGTATCTATATCTCCCCAGGCAGTGTTCTAGAGTCTATGGATTCATTTCTCATACAATTAACTGAATGCCAGACCCTGGACTAGAACCTAGGGTTCCTGACTCATTTTGAAGCTCTGACACAGACAGCTATGTCTGTCTTACAGAAAAGGTTTAATATGCAAAGTAGGGGTATGTCTGTGTAAGAGTCCCTATTAAAATATTATAAAGAAATGGATTTGGAGCTAAAAATATCTATGTAATGTGGATATTTTAAAGTGTCCAAATAAAATATCTCTATAAATATAGATTGGAGGTAATTTTCCATTATGTTAGGGAAGTAGTTGGTACTTTACCCCATGATTAACATTTGAATCATAAAAACTTAAGAACTTTTGTTTCTACATAGAGCTCTACAAAAGCTCTCCCACTAATCTCATAGACAAGTTTATCTATAGAAATTCTGATGGCAGGCTGAGGCTGCAGTGGACAAGAGATCAAAACACAACCATGTGGGCCAGAAACAAGAAACTGTTCTCCACATACTTCAAGCCCTACAGTTGCTTCTGCTTTTTTCATGGCTTACTGCAGGAAATTACTTTTTCCTAAAGGGAAGTTCTTAGACTAGTAGCAATGGAATTCAGAGTGAGGGGGAAAAGACTGGGTGGAATTGGAACAAATACACTATGCCACCAACCTAAGTTTATCTTGTTCAACACTAAACTGCCTCCTACCTACTTATGTAT